ATGTGTTAGGAGATGAAGAAAGGATCCTGGTAGATTACTCCCATAGAAGCATCTATACTTTTCCTTTGTCTCTATCTGGTTAAGGAAGACATTAATTCTTGCTCTTTTAATTTATTTACTAGTGCTAACTTGAATACGTCATACTGTTCCCTGTATTGATTGTCTATTTTTGGTCTACTTTTTCATTAATGTGTACATACACATTTGTAAACATCTGCATAGTGCAGTGTTTTACAATTTTCTTGAATACATTTAATAACAGAAGCATATATCTCATAGCCACAGAAAATAAAATGAAAAGCGATTAAAAAGTTTTTTTTTTGTTGTTTTTTTTTTTTTTGTTTTTTGTTTTTTTTTTGTCTTTTTGAGACAGGGTCTCCTTGTAGCCCCAGCTGTCCTGGAACTCACTGTGTAGACCAGGCTGGCCTCAAACTCACAAAGATCCACCTGCCTCTGCCTCCCAAGTGCTGGGATTAAAGGCGTGCACCACCACGCCTGGCCGAGAGATTTTTTAATGGTATTTTTTGCTAAAAGAAGATTGCAGGGAAATTTTATTCTTAAAAATTAGCTATTGCAGGGCTGGAGAGATGGCTCACTGGTTAAGAGCACTGACTGCTCTTGCAGAGGACCTGGGTCTCTGTAAGTTCGAAGCCAGCTGGTCTACTTAGTGAGTTCCAGGCCAGCTGGAAGTACAGGGAGACCTTGTCTCAAAAAAGACAAAAAAAAAAAAAGCTATGTTAAGCTGGGCGAGCCTGGGCCTTACAATATGAGACGCTGTCTCCAAAAAGAGGCAGAAAAAGCTATCTTAATAATTCCCACTTTCACTTAAACATGTATACTTGCCTATAATGTATCCTACTGACTGGGATGAAAGGTATGGCCAAGAACCTGTTTATTATGTGGCAGAGGTAGTCTCGGAGTGTTCAGATATTTAGTTGTATTTTTATTAACTAGCCAGTTTTTGTGGATACCTTTACATAGTTAGGGTGTTAGTTACCTTTGGTAATTGAGCAAATTGCCAGAAGATTTGTAGCTTAAAAATCAAACAAGTGGACTGGAGAGATGGCTCAGCGGTTAAGAGTACTGACTGCTCTTGCAGAGGACCTGGGTTCGATTCCCAGCACCCACATGATGGCTAACTTCAGTTCCAGGGGATCCAACACCCTCTTCTGACTTCCGAGGGCATTGCATGACACGGGTGCACTTAGACACACACAAGCAATAAATTCACTTAATACATATAAAATAGAAATAATATATAAAAATAAAACAAGTTATTTTCTTAGAGTTTAGGAGGTCAAAAGTCTAAAATATTTCTTCAGAACTGCATTTCATCTCTCTGGAGACTCAAAGGGAGAATCTATTCTTGCCTTTTCTCATTTCTAAGTGCTGCCTCTGTTTCCAGGCTCTGGCCCCTTTCTCCATCCTAGGAGCTAGCAGTGCTGAATCTTGTCCTGTCTGATCTCTGCCTCTGTGATCTCTGCTTCTAATCTTTTCTTTCTTTCTGATTCTGGTCCTCCCATCTCCCACTCATAAAGACTCTTATGATTATGATGAGCCTATTAAAACAATTCAAAATACTATCTTCTTTTTAGGGAGTCTCAGTTAACCCTATCTGCAAATTTCCTGCTTCCATGTAAGCTACCATATTCTCATATTAGAGATTAGGATGTGGACCATCACCCACTCTCCCCCTGTGCTAGAGTTCAAACCCAGGGTTTTGTGCATACTCTCTATATATCTTTAAAAATGAAATTTCTGAGACATTGCTCAGTGGTTAAGAGCCCTGGCAGCTCTTGCAGAGGACCCAGGTTTGGTTCCCTATATAACTTACAACCAGTGTGTATTCTTGAATATGCTGACTTATGCTGATGTTTCTATTATTTGTATCTAGTTTCTCACCAACTCTAACAATTGTGGCCCTTAACAGGTTTTATTTTCCAGGTTTTATTTGTTCTTTTCAATCTATTCTACATACTTGCATGTAGAATGTATTTCTTAACATGAAAATGTCATAGTGTCACCTCCCTTAGTTAAATATCTGCAGTGCTTTACTGCATGATAAATAATAATTGTTAGCATCTCTTGAGTGTGAGTCCCAAAATCAGTCATCTCTCAAAAGATCGGCAGTCAGTTCTGACTATGATATCAAGAGCTGTCCTCATACACACATAATACTTCGTCTCAAAGGTCTTACTATATCTTGCCACAAACCATTTCTTGAGGCTGCAGTATAACTCTTGTAGAGTATTTGCCTAGCATGTGTGACCGCCCCCCCGCCAAGACTGGATCTCCTCCCCATCTGGAGATTGGATCTCCAGCACTGTACACAATACACACACACACACACACGCACACAAAACCCATAAATATGTAAATAAAAACCTTACTTAATCTTTTTTTTAGTTTAAAATTTTTTATTTTATGCATATGAGTGATATGTCTGTATGTATGTACATGCATCCATGTAGTACAGTGCTTGTGGAGGACAGAAGAAGGTGTTAGATCCCCTGGACCTGGAGTTATAGACAGTTGTTAGCCATCCTTTGGGTGCTGGGATTCAAACCCCTGAGTGCTCTTAACTCTTGAGCCATCTCTCCAGCCCCCTATTTTATTATTTTTAAAAATATTTATTTTTGGTCATTTTGAGACAGGGTCTTCCTGTAGCCACAACTGTGTTTATTTTTATTTTATGAGTATGTGTGTTTCGTCTGCATGTAAGTAGATTGTGTATGTGCAATGCCTGCAGAGGCCAGAAGAGGGTGCTATATCATACCCTGGATCTGGAGTCACAGGTAGTTGTTAGCCACCATGTGGGAACTGAACCCAGGTCCTCTGCAAGAACAGCTAGTGCTCTTAATGGCTGAGCCACCTCTCCAGCCCCTTGATCTCTTGGTTTATCAGAAGTGCCACATTCTCCTTCCCTTCCCCCTGCCTTCCCTCGAATGTTTTATATATTTCCACTTTTCCTTTCCTTTCTTTACCCAGAAAACTACTGTTTGTCTTTCAAGTATGGCTTGAGTACCTCTTAGGGAGCCTTTCTTTACAGCACTCATCACTAGCACACACAAATATATTTGTTGTTTATCGCTTGTCTTCTCTCTAAGAGGATAAACTTGAGTAAATGGCTATAATTCACATTTTTACTTCCAGTAACCATTTTTTGTAGTTAGTATTTGATGCACAGTAGGCATTAAATATTGTTTTCAAGAACATTTTTTGTTGAATTTTTGTGAATTTCATGCTATATATTTTTATTGTATTTAGATCCCCTCCCCTATCTATACCCCTCACTACCCAATTTCATGTTCTTTCTCTTTCTGTATATAAATGTGTGTGTGTGTGTGTGTGTGTGTGTGTGTGTGTGTGTGTGGTGTGTGTGTGTGTGTGTGTGTGTGTGTGTGTGTGTGTGTGTAAGGACACTAATTTCATTTATGCAGGCTCATGACCCAAACACTCTTACAGTCCCCATCTTCAAAAGCTATCATATTGGAGATTTAGTTTAGTTTTGTTTTGTCTTTTGTCTTTTTGAGACAGGGTCTCTCTGTAGCCCCAGCTGGCCTGGAACTCACAGAGATCCTCCTGCCTCTGGCTTCCAAATGCTGGGATTAAAGGCGTGCACCACACACCTGGCAAGATTTGGTTTTAATGTATGAATTTTAAGGTAATGTAAGCATTGAGCCCATAGCATTAGTAGCAGAGATATTTGTGACTTCAAAGTGATTGTTCTTAACTATAATACTTTATGATCAACACAGTTTCTTTGGAGAATATTTAAACAGTATATATGACCAAGGTCTCAGATACAAAGAATTTGATTTAGCATTTTATTTTTTAGCACTTTTCTCAGTGCTTGGATATCGCAATCTAGAGCTGAAACCTTCAAATCATTAACTACATTATTTCATTTGAAAATAAGAGAAAAACCCTAGAAAAGTGATTAATTTACTCAAAATGGCAGATTAAGTGATAGGCCCAAGCTTAGGACATTTTATAGCATATTTTTAAAGTCAGTTTTTGTTATTGCCTTGTTTTAAATTATGTAAGCTTGAATTTTCAGATAATGAAAAAGATAATGGAATTTCATTTTCCTTTAAAACTGACAGAATACCAACTTGCAAGACCTTCTGATGCAAATAGAAAGGAAATGTTGTTTGGAAGCCTTGCTAGACCTGGACATCCTATGGGAAAATTTTTTTGGGGTAAGATATTAAGCAATTTATTTCATATTTTTTAGGTAAGGAAGATTGAAAATAAGAAAGGCTGATAAAGAGGGTAGGGAATGTTGGTAGAGTGCTTGTCTACACAAAGCCCTAGTTTTAATCACCAGTACCACATAAAACATAAACTTGGATGTGCATGCTTGTAATTCCTCAGGAAGATAGAGGCAGGAGGATCCCAAGCTCAGTGTCATCCTCGAGTTAGAGGCCAGCATGGGATCCATGAGACTGTAACATGTAAAAAGGCCCATTGAAACAAAAAATAAAAAAAAACTGATAAAGGAATGAGTTATAAAGCTGGCCTAGCTATGTGCCTTTTATCTTCTAGTGAGTATAGCTAGAAAACTTTTGAAATAGAAAGTTGTTTCTGGGTTTTAGGATTTAGCTCAGTGGTAGGCACAAGGCCTGAGTCATGTCCTCAACCCCAAGGGGAAAAGAAGTCATTAGTATGTTTTGGTTTGGTTCTCTAATATTGGATATAGCTAGAATATAACCTAACATTCTGTGAATGGTTTCTAGGCACCAGACACTGTGCTAACAGGTATGTCAATGATATCATTTGTTCACTATCATAGTTTTAAGAGATAGGTACCATTATCTTCTCTACTAAGAGAAATAGGCTCAGGGATTTTGCTTAAATCATACAGCAGTAAATATTTGATATGGGATTTGAGTATCTGTTTATCGAAAGTCTGTGCTGTACCCCAACATGATGTTTCCATTATCAACAGAGACAGGCTCAGAATGCTTTCTCTAACAATTTTTGAATGGTGGCCTAATTTTGTTTAACCGGTAAGCTGTTTAACTGGTATCTGTTTTTCATAATAGCATTTTCTTGTTGGTAGAATTCAGTTGTAACCTATTAATCCTGCTCACCATAGTATGAAAATCAGGTTGTTTATATACTTCAAAGCCTGTTTTATTATACCTTCTGTATCTTTTGTGTAGTTTATGCATTTTACATGGCATCCTGGCTTTTGGTATTTTACTTTTTAAGAATTAAGCAGAATATTGCTGGGTGTGGTGGTGCATGCCTTTAATCTCAGCACCCGGGAGGCAGAGGCAGGCAGATTTCTGTGAGTTCAAGGCCAGCCTGGTCTACATAGCGAGTCCAGGTCAGCTGGGACTACAGGGAGACCCTGTCTCAAAAAGAAAAAAAAAAAAAGAAATAAAAAAGAATTAAGCAGAATATTAGTAAAATAGTTCATAGAGAAAACTAAATTGAATACTTGTATTAAGCAAGGAAGTTTAGGCAAATACTGTCTGTTGTTGAGGTTTTCCAACCAGAGATTAATTCCTTATGTATCTTCTTGTGGTATGCTATTATTACACATTGGTTCAAAATTTGTGAGTCACATGGATTATTTCATAGGTCTTACAAGCTTGTAGAGCATTTGTTGTTGGTACAGAGAACATTTAACAAAACAAACTCAGTTATTTCTATAATTTTTTCATCTTAGGCAACGCTGAGACTCTCAAGCATGAACCAAAGAAGAATAATATTGATACACATGCCAGATTGAGAGAATTCTGGATGCGCTACTACTCGGCTCATTACATGACTTTAGTTGTCCAGTCCAAAGGTAGTATTGTCTCTTATGGTTCTTAGTTGCTCTAAAGTGTCACTGGCCCTTGATCAGTGTGGTTTGAATTGCACGGGCCTACTTACATGTGGCTTAGTTTAGAAAGTTTGCAGCATGTTAGAAAAACTTGCAGATGATACACATAGCCTAGAAATGTCAAAAAATTTAGAAAAATTTAGGTATGTCATGATTGCATAAAATACATGTAGATAATAGTTATTTTATTATTTACTACCATAAAATATATACAAATCTATTGAAGGGTAAAGTTTATCAAAACTTAGATAATTACTCACAGACCATACACTGAATCACTCATAACAGAGACAAATGTAAACAAATGTTAGCCCACAGTTTGAAAGCATGACTCCATGGAATTAATTGTAGTAAATAATTTACTACTATAATAGTTTCTTATGTATATCCTTTGCTGTTTTGGTGAGGTCAAGAGTGACATCTGCATAGAACACTGCTGATCAGGTCTTCTCTACTAAACTGTATTATAGTAAAAAATGATCCCCTGGTTCTTGCACAGTTTTAAACATATGATGCATGTGAAATCTAAAATATGTATTAATAGGTGGTTATATTATTGGTAAGGCTTTGGTCAAAAGGTGACTGTTAGAAGTCAAGTTTTGGGTTCCAGGTGGCCATGAACTCATTGAACTTAGTCTCTTGAGTAGCTGGGCCTATAGGCACAGACCACCACACCTGGCTTATGAATTGTACTTTTAATTCAAATTCAGCTGCCTCTGTAGTTGTGATTTTATATTTAATCTATATTGATTACAAACTTACTGGGCAAATTGTTCATCTTCATAAAAGGTTCTATAAGATGATTAGAGAAATTCTTCTATTTCTTTCCTTCTGGTATCTTATCTTTAGTAATTCATGTTAACTCTCATTAAGAAACTCTGGTAGCAGGACTGGGCATGGTGGTGCATGTCTTTAGTGCCAGTGAGCGGATCTCTGAATTCCAGGTCAGCCTTAGCTGTGTAGTAAGACCCTGTCAAAAATATAAAACAAGGGCCTGGAGAGATGGCTCAGCGGTTGAGAGTACTCTAAAGAGACATGGGGTAAAGCCTTAGCAAATACAGTACAGTACATAGTCTGGAGAGATGACTCAGTGGTTAAGAGCACTGGCTGCTATTACAGGGAACCCAGGTTCAGTTCCCAGCACCCACATGTGGCTAACAATCATCCAAAACTGTAGTTCCAGGAGATCTGATGCCCTCTTGTCTCTGTAGGTATTGAATGAATGGGTGCATTTACACACATGCAAACAAAACAATCCATATGCATAAAGTAAAAATAAGTCACTGGGCATGGCAGCACTTTAATCTCTGCACTCAGGAGGCAGAGGTAGGTGGATCTCTGTGAGATCGAGGCCAGTCTGGTCTACATAAGCTAGTTCCAGGCCAGCTGGGGCTATAGGGACACCTTGTCTCATCCTCCCTCCCAATTAATTTATTAATAAAAATATAGTATAGTGTAGGCCGGGCGTGGTGGCGCATGCCTTTAATCCCAGCACCTGGGAGGCAGCAGCAGGCGGATCTTTGTGAGTTTGAGGCCAGCCTGGTCTACGTAGTGAGTTCCAGGACAGCTGGGACTACAGGGAGACCCTGTCTCAAAAAGACAAAAAAAAAAAAAAAAAAATAGTAGAGTATAAAAGTATACACACAGGTGGGATTATGAAAGTAGTAATGGGGTGCCAAAAAGAGGGGGTAGTATGACCTGGGTTAGTTTGGGGAAAAGCAAAAACCTTCCTAAAACACATCAGTTTTGGAATGGTGTAGGAAGATGGGTGGCATATTCTTGCCTGTTGCTCCTTTACATTTGCTTATTGATAAAATTTTTGGTTTTTAAACTTGTGTGCATTTTCTAGTTTTACCAGAGAGAAATAAGAGTCTAACAAAGTACTGCCAGGTGGTACCCTAGTTAAAATAACCTCTTTGCTTTGTGGCTAAAGATGTATAAAAAAAAATGTGGCTGAATGTGGTGGCCCTTGTCTTTTATCCCAGCACTTGGGAGGCACAGGCAGATGGATCTCTGTGAGTTCAAGGCCAACCTGGTCTACATAGTGAGTTCTAGGCCAGCCAGGGCTATATAATGAAACCCTGTCTCAAAGCAACCAAAAAATAAAAATAAGATAAAATAAATCTAGTATTTCTACATTTTTTTCTATGTTGACTAATGACATTGTCCTTCTCTCCCTTCAAGAAACACTGGATACTTTGGAAAAGTGGGTGACTGAAATCTTCTCTCAGATACCAAATAAGTAAGAAATTTACAAATGATTTATCTTTACAGTTAAAGTGCATATCTTTTTGTATGAATCCCAAAGGAATTTTTCTTTTGTTTTCTAAAAAGGTCTAAAAGGAAGGCTTACTGACTCAGTTGGGGTCTCATAGCTGCTGAGTAGGACAGCAAAGATGAGAGCCATTTTCATAATTCCTACAGCTCAAAACTTACAGGCCTGTAAATTTATAAAAAGCAGGAATTCTGAGGAATTTATGTCTCCTTTTACATTTATTTGTCACTTTCTGTCTCTGTGTAGGGCATTTGAAAGTATGTTGTAGAAGTCCTATATTAAGGAGCGTGTGTACTTAGGTCTGTCTCCTGCCTCATAACAAATATTTGTTTTGAAAGGTTTTTTGTTTTGTTTTGTTTTTAAGTCAGTTGTTTGGAATGTTGAATGTTTTTCCAGTAAAAGAAATAATCTTGTTGATAGTGGTGATTTATATCTGATCACTCCATATATATTTGTTAAGTTAAGAAAGTGTTATCTTTAAGGTCAGGCCTGGTGGCACACATCGTTAATCCACCTTTAATCCCAGTACTCGGGAGGCAGAGGCAGGCGGATCTCTGTGAGTTCAAGGCCAGTCTGGTCTACATAGTGAGTTCCAGGCCAACTGGGGCTACAGAGAGATGCTGTCTCAAAAAAAAAAAAAAAAAAGTATTATCTCTACAATAATTTTTTTTTTCCTGAAATTGCTTCTTATAGGAGAACTAAAATAGTGTTGATAAAAGCAGTAAATTTTGGGGAGGGTCTCTTTAATTCATCATTTTCTGTCTCCTGCAAGTTACAAAGACAAATTAGTTATTAAGGCTGAGGTTAACTGGGAGTGCAGTCGGAACTTTAAATCTTGGTTCCCATCCATTTGCTCATGCTAAGAATGTTGTTTAGTCAGCAGTGTGCAGAATAGATTGCTTATAAGTATCTGCCAACCAGTGAAGCATAAGCGCTTTTGCTAATTAAATTTTAATGTGTCTGTTTTATTTTCAGTGGGTTACCTAAACCAAACTTTGGCCACTTAACGGATCCTTTTGACACACCAGCATTTAACAAACTTTATAGAGGTTTGTGAACCTAAGGTTTAAAATTGTTTGAAATAATTTTAGCACATTCTCTAAAACTTAAGACTGTCAGTTTTCTTTGAAAATGCAAACACAACAGAAAATATGGCTGTTGGAAAGGGAATAGTAGGGAAATGGGGATCCAGGTAGGGCAGATCGCAGGCCACTGACAAGCTGTGGAGCCCTGCTGTGGCTGGGCTTGCCTCCTGTTTCCTCCATGGCTCCCCGTCTTCTCCCCCCCTTTCTCTTTTACTTTTTCCCTTAAATAAAAATAGAAGAGAGAAAATACTTTGAAAACTAATTTTTTAAACTTCATTATACATAATGATATCTGTTAAATGAGAAGGACCTTAAAGTATCAGGAAATTGGGCCGGAGAGGTTCACTTTAGATTTTGCTATTAAGAGAATACTTTTTGGCAAATTTCCTCTGATGTTTTATAGGTCTGGTAACATAAGAATATAAAATATATGCTTATTAAATATATATACTTCTGTCCTTCCCTTTTTAAAATTTAATATTGTGTTCATAGTAACTGCATGAGTCATCACATGATTATACTGTAATTTACTTACCAATTTGCTGATACTGAATGTTACATTCTTAATTCATCATTTCTTTTTCTTTTTTAAAAAAATTTTTCAGTTATTTTTATTTTATGTGTATGAGGTGTATGAGTGTAATGCCTGCATGCATGTGAGTGCACCGTGTCGTGCATTGCCCGAGGAGGTCAGAAGAGGTTGTTGGATCCCCTGGAACTGGAGTTACCATCATGTGGGTGCTGGGATTCGAACCCAGGTCATCTCCAAGAGCAGTCAGTGCTCTTTAACCACTGAGCCATCTCTCCAGCCCTATCATTTCTTTCTTTTTTCTCTCTCTCTTTTCTATCATTGTAGACTTACTTTCTTTCTCCATACGCCTTAGGTCTCCTTTGCTTCTCTGCCCCAATGCCAGTTTCTTTCTTCCCTTCCTTTGATCAGTAACTGTTTTGGTACATTATTTTTGCTGCAGGTTCCATTCTAGAAAGCTCAGTCTTCCAAGAGAGTATTTTCTATTGTTTCCTTATTCATAGACTCATAGATTAATAGCTCCAAGAAAAACCTCAAGGAATTCTTTTAGCCTAATGCACTCATTTTTGTCATGAGAAAGCAGATTCAGAAAGGTTTAAATGAATGAGTTTTATCAAGGTTGTATAAGTGGTAGGTGGGGTTTGCATGGAGCTCCTAACTCCTAGTCCTGTATCCATTCTTGAGAAGAAGGATTCATCCTTAGCAGCATTTCATATGCTTATTGTTCTTTTTATTTTTTAAAAAATATTTTATTTATTTATTTTTTATTTTGTGTTTGAGTGTATTGCCTGCATGTGTATAAATGCTCCCATGTTGTGCAATGCCTGCGGAACTCAGAAGATGGTGTTGGATCCCCTAGAACTGGAGTTACAGATGATTGTTAGCCACCATGTGGGTGCTGAGTCCTCTGCAAGAGTGGTCAGTGCTCTTAACTTCTGAGCCATCTCTCCAGCCCTGTTCTTTTTATTTATTTAATAATACAATATAACAACTACTTATTTGCATTAGGTATTTTTTTGAGACAGGGTCTCCCTGTAGCCCCAGCTGATCTAGAACTCACTGTGTAGACCATGTTGGTCTTGAACTCACAGAGATCCACCTGCCTCTGCCTCCTTAGTGCTGGGATTAAAGGCATGTGCTACCAGGCCCAACTCATTCTTACTATTCTTTAAAAAAATTTTTTTATTTATGTCTATGAATATTTTGTTCACATGTATGTAAATGTACCATGTATAGTACCCACAGAGGCCAGAGAGGGTGTTTGATCCCCTGGAACTGGAGTTATGGAGGGGGTTATGGAACCACCATGCGGGTGCTGGGAACTGAACCTGGGTCATCTGCAACAGGCAGTGCTCTTAACCATTATGCCATCCCTCCAGCCCCTGGTCTTTTTATTCTTACTTAAAGTGGGATTATTCAAATTGGAAAATTACAAACTTGAAGCAATAGCTGCATTTTACTTAACCATCCTATGATTATTGTTGAAGGATGAAATATATTTAAGTAAATATGTTCTTGTAGCATAGTAAAAGTTATGGAGAAACATGTAACAGTTCTTGTGATATTTTTGTTTAGTTGTGCCAATCAGAAAAATTCATGCTCTGACCATCACATGGGCACTTCCTCCTCAACAGCAACATTACAGGTAAGAGTTCAAGGGAATTTACTTCATTAGCAACTGAGAGTTATTTTTTTAAAAAGGAGTTTATTTTTATTTATTTGTATGTGTGTGTGTCTGTGAATGGGTGTGCACATTCACATGTGGGTGCTGGGTACCCAAACAGGCCAGAAGAGGTGTCAGATCTCCTGGAGCTGGAGTTACAAGGTTGTGAGCCACCTGACATGGGTGCTGGGAATTGAACTCTGGTCCTCTAGAGGAGCAGCAAGCCCTCTTAACCACTAAGTCATCTTTCGAGCCTTGAGAGTCATATATTTTAAAGAATGCTAAGTGGTAAGTTGGAGGTTTCCAAATTTTTAAACATGTGTCTAGTAACCTGAAACTTAGCTATGGGACTTTTCAAGTATTATGTATTTTATGGGTTTTCTGGGTGTAATAATCTAGTATAGTCACATAACTAGTTACTCTTTTCAGAGTCTTTGAAACTAAACACTTAGTATTAATGTTAACTTATACTTATTTTCTTTAGTAATTTTAGAATAAAAATATATTAACTTATGACTTGTTTGGCCATGGGGGTATGCCATTTATTCGCTTGTTAAAAGTGAAAGTTAATGAGTCCACACTCCTTTAGTCCCTGTACTCGGGAGGTAGAGGCTGGCGGATCTCTGAGATAGAGGCCAGCCTGGTCTATTTAGTGAGTTCCAGGCAAGCTGGGGCTGCAGAGAACATTGTCTCAAACAAACAAAGTGAAAAATAACTTCTAAGGATTTATTTCCATGAGTTGGGACAGAGTTATATAAATTAGAATATTTCAGTTTATTATATAAGCAGTACAGCTGGGACCAAGCAGTTTCTTAAAGATAAGGACAAAGTCTACAAATGCTTTATAATTAGAAATAAATAAAATAATAAAAAGATTTATATTTTTTAATTTTGTGTATGTGTGTGTATGAGATAATGTGCATGTGACTGCAAGGGCCTATGGAGACCAGAAGAAGGAGTAGGATCCCCTAGAACTGGAGTTATAGGCAGTGGTAAGAAATGCTCTTTGTTATTTATATGATTGAATATTTGAACAATCAAGTCCACTAGCATTAACAAAAACACCGTGTAGTAAGAAAGCCAGAAAGTGTATAAGAACAATATAAGAAAAAGTAATATATATTGAGTATATGCTTATGAATATCTTAAGAAATATTAACAGTACTAACACATTTAAATTTTTATTAAAAGTTTTTACTGTAAAATAATATAAGCTTGGGGGCTGGAGAGATGGCTCAGCAGTTAAGAGCACTGACTGCTCTTGCAGAGGACCTGGGTTTGAGTCCCAGCACCCACATGATGTCTAACAACTCTCTGTACCTTCAGTTCCAGGGCATCTGACACCCTCTTCTTGCCTCTGTGAGCACTGCATGACACGGGTGCATTTTTATGCTTGCAGGCAAAACACTCATACACATAAAATAAAAATAAAGTTTATTTTATATCATTCAGGCATTAAAATATTGAATATAAAACATCTTTTTATGGAAATGGAATTTTACTAATATACTAGTAATAAAGCCTTTTTTATCCTCCTAATTACTAATTAGGTAGTTGATTGAGGAAATTTAGAAAATTATAGAAAGTGACCAACTATTCATGGTTCTGTTTTCTAAATCTATAGTATTTTTGTGTTTCCATTCATCTATTTTTAAAGGCAAATTTATTTGTTTAACATTTCATTATCAGTCATTTTTATACCCCAAATATGTGAATTCCCAGTAAATTAATTTTTGTAGAGAGCCATTGTTTACAGTGAACCAAAGTATTTTTGCCTCTAGTGTTACCAATTATAGTATCATTAGCTTTGTTCAGATGCAAATGTGTAATTTTCTGGCCTCCTTCATTTACTGCTGTGCTCTTCTGTTCTAGTCTAGCATGTGTGTAATACAGTTCGCATCTGAATCTATGCCAATTATGCTTCGAGGATTGCTTAATAGAATTGAAATCATAATATTTTGATTTTCAAGGGTTTACTAAATTTTGTGGGACATGGTGACTAGCACCTGTAATCCCTACTCTAGGCCAGGAGAGACTGCTAAATTGAATTCTGTAACCTAATTAGAGTTTCTAAGTCTTTTTTTGATATAGTTTTGTTTTGTTAGGAATACATTTCAAAGTTATAGTAGAAACTAATGGCAAAATAATTTGAATAACATCTTCAGTTTTACATAGACCATTATATGATAATAACAACTGCTATTTGTGTTTACATGAAGAGTCTATGGGTAGGTAGTCAAATGAAGAGAAAAAAAATACAATGAGATTTTTGTCTTTGGTTCAAAATCATAAAGTGCTTGAAGAAAAAGCTGAAACTGGAATCTAGGTTTTCCAATCTTTAGGACAACATTTTTCTTTTTTCTTTTTTAAAAAATATTTTATTTATTATTTTAATTTTATGTATATGCATGTATTGCCAGCATGCAGGTAAGTGTATCCATGTCGTGTAATGCCTGCGGAGGACAGAAGAGGCTGTTGGATCCTCTGGAACTGGAGTTAGGACAGTTGTTAGTTGCCATGTGGGTGCTGGGGTTCGAACCTGGATCTTCTGTAAGAACGGTCAGTGTTCTTAACCGCTGAGCCATCTCTCCAGCCCCTCTTTTTTCTTTTAAAAATACTTTATTTTTTCTGTATAAGACTATATTGCCTGCATGTATGTAAGTGCACCTGTGTCATGCAATGCCTGTAGAGGTCTGAAGAGGGTGTGTGATTCTCTGGAACTAGCGTTACAGATGGTTGTTAATCGCCGTGTGGGTGCTGGGAATTGAACCCAGGTCATCTGCAAGAGCAGTTAGTGTTCTTAACCTCTGAGCCATCTCTCTAGGCCTAGGACATTTTTCATTTTACCACACAGGCTGACACAATACTGAAAGCTTTTGTAAAGTTTTGTTCATGGATAATGATTCATGTTTGTATTGGGTTCTAAAATGACAATCTATGTTATTTTCATTTGTAAGTCAAACAAAAATTAAAGATTTTATCAAAATCTTTTGATGCTGAAGAGAAGTAATCTTAAAAGCTGAAGAAATGACTCAGTAAGGTGCTTGCCTCCCAAACATTAGGACCTGAGTTTGATCCCCAGCACCCAGGTTACAATGCTGGACAAGGTGGAGGGTACTGGGGAGGTAGAGGCAGGAGGATCCTTGGGGCTCCTCTAGTCCTGTCTAGCTAACCAGTCTAGCCTAATTGGTGAGCTCCAGGCCAATGAGAGACTGTTTAAGATGATATGGACAGAGATCACGAGACTGACACCTATGTGCACACACATGTGCAAATGCACACCCCACACATGAACATGTACACAAACACATGCAAAAAAATATATCCCCCCCCCGCCAAAAAAAAAGAAGTTAGCAGCCTTACATTCTGGAATGATTCTACTCACTGAGTGACAGCATGAAGGAATGTACCATTTGTTTTTATATTGCTGTTATTAAGTTGATTACAATTTCATGCTGAATGGATTTACGAGAATAAGCTTATATTCTCAAATCTTGCATATTTAAACCCTATTTCTTTTGATTTTCGAACTTTATTTTTTTTTTTAAGGGTGAAGCCACTTCATTATATTTCCTGGCTGGTTGGACACGAAGGAAAAGGCAGCATTCTTTCTTACCTCAGGACAAAGCAAGTATTCAATTATGAAGCATTTTCTGTGTAATGATAGGAGTAACAAACATGTTATAACGCATTCCTTTGCTTTAGCTGCTGTGAGGTCTAGAATCAAACTCAGTGTTAGTTATAGTTGTGGGAATTACATATGTCATTTTAATGGCTATATTTTAAATTTTACATAATTTAGCATCTACTAGTGTTCACATTAAACAATTGAAGAGGACCGCTGTTGGAGACTCCTGAATGTACTGTGATTCTTTGTGATGCCTTGTACTCTTAAAATTTGAACTTTAAAACTTATTATTGCCAGATGTGGTTGCACATGCTTATAATTTCTAAAGGCAGAGGCAGGAGGATTGCTGCAAGTTCAAGGCCAGTCAGAGCTACATTGTGAGACCCTGTCTCAAAAAACAAACAAACAAAACCCTTTAACTGTTAAGAGTATATATTTACCTCAAAAGCTGAGGTTTCCAAGTTTTATATAGAAATCTTGTTGATTTTGTTAATTTGAAGATTACTGATTGGATTGATTTTTCCTGACTGTAGGTGCTGGGCTCTTGCATTGTTTGGTGGAAATGGTGAGACAGGTTTTGAGCAAAATTCTACTTACTCTGTGTTCAGCATTTCTATTACGTTGACTGATGAAGGCTATGAGCATTTCTATGAGGTAAGTAATTAAAGGGAGTTGCTTTTCTTCTATCTACATATCACCTGATGCAAAAGACTAATGAGACATTTTGTTTCCAGGTTGCTCACACCGTCTTTCAGTATTTAAAAATGCTGCAGAAGCTAGGCCCAGAGAAAAGGTAATAAATATTTCTTAGGATGAGACCAAGAGTCAATCCAAGTACATCTTAGCTTTCGGGCTGCCAGTAGATGTATTTTAGTTCTCTAAGATAATTTTTCTGTCTTTTCTTACTCTTTCCTTTTTTGGCTCTATATCTAGATCCCTTTACACCTGAATATACACTATAAAGTTTTATATTTTTTTGGCCAATACTTTTTATTTTTATGCCCTTTGTTGGTGATTAGAATGAGAAATTTTAATACATCTTCTAATTTTCATGTTCTTTTACAGAGTTTTTGAAGAGATTCAGAAAATTGAAGATAATGAATTTCATTACCAAGAACAGGTATTAGAAGTCAAAGTCATTTTGTAGATTATCTGTGAACAAGTTGACACTGGTGTGAACATTGTTCTACTTTGTGGAAGTGTAACTGGAATTTTAATTCTGCCACTCTGTCATTTGTGTCTCAAGATGGCCTTGACTATTGTATTTTTTGAGCATTTATATTGAGTTACAAGACTAGACTGATGACATAGATTGTGATCTATGACCATCATTTTTCTATGTAATCATCTGTTTTATCTAACCCTTTGCCCCCCCGCCCCCATTTCTGGCTTTTTGAGACAGGGTCTTTCTGGTAGTCCCAGCTAGCCTGGAACTCACTATGTAGACCAAGCTGGCCTCTATCTCACAGAGCTCCATCTGTCTCTGCCTCCCAGGTGCTGGGACTCCAAGCATGCAGCACCATGCTCAGCTTTGTTTTGTCTATCCCTTTGATCATCATTTGTGGAGAACTCACCATAGCATTCAATAGCTTAGGGATTCACATATTGTGAAGATACTCTACAAGGTAACGAATAGTAATTGCCATGTATAATACTAGAAACATTGAGCTTTGGGATTTTAGGGAAAGAAGATTTTTTTTTCCCTCGATTGAAGACTTCATGGATATGGTAAATTTGAGTTAAATTTATCAAAAACATAGGCTTATTTATATTCTAGGCAATGGGAGGTACTAAATAAAGAACTTACAGAGTTGGGGCAGTGGCTTAGGGAATAAAGTGCTTGCTGTGCAAGCATGAGGAACTGGGATTGGAGCTCTAGCACCAAATTCATGAGTCTCCTCCGAATTTGTCCATTGACATGTTATAGGGGATGTCCCTGGGCCCTAGATTTAAGAGTTCTCATTTATAGCCAATCAGAGCACCTTGAAAGATGCTCTGACTTTTTGATCATCACCAAAGACTTGTTCTGTCACTATGTAGTATAAGTGGAAGATTTCAGTACATGAAGGAGGTTACAAAAACCATTACTACTGACTCCTCTCTAGTCTTTGTTTGGTTTTGGGTTTTTGGGTTTTGAGATCGAGTCTCCCTCTAGCCACAGCTGGCCTAGAACTAACTAACATAGACCAAGCTGGCCTCGATCTCATAGAAATCTGCCTGCCTTTTCTCTGCCTCTCTCAAGAGCTGGGATTAAAGGTGTGTGCCACCATGCTGGCGCACTATAGTCTGTTTATACTTGAAGCCATCTGAAATTGCAGCAGAAGTCTTCTATGAAACAGAATAGCTGCAATGGCTCACCTTAGCCATTAGGATCCTGAAGGCACTCTCCCCTGTAAGTAGAATGATACAACTGGAACCCATAAGTCCTGCCCAGCTACCTTACCCGCTCAGGTTGCTCGTCAGCTGTGGTGACAAACGTGAGCCAGAGTCGTAATGGAAGGAGTGGGAGTGAGGATTTGCGCACTACACCTATAAGTGATCCCAAATTAACTGTTTTCGGCTTTTCAGCTTTGGTTAAGTAATGACTTTTTCTCCTGCCCCTCTAGTTAGTTGTTAACAGGATATTTTAAGACGAACCTTCATTGCCATTCCCTTGTGTCATAGCTCCTCATCCCTATACCTTGCATCTTAGGTATGTTTGAATACTTGTTTTGATTTTAAAATATGAACCCAGAACATCTTAGACTAAAACCTAACCAAATACAAAATCAGAACAAATCAGAAAAAAAGCCAATTTTTCTGAACTTTTAAGTTATTTCAAGTAGGTCAGATTATTTTTGTTTTCAGGTCTGTACATTTGTATTTTAAACAAAATTGGGTGTTTCCTCTTTGAATTTCTTTCTGATCTTTATCAATACAGACAAATAGGAATGCTTATTTCAAACTAAATTTTTTTTTTTTTTTTTTGTCTTTTTGAGACAGGGACTCCTTGTAGCCCCAGCTGGCCTGGAACTCACTATGTAGACCATGCTGGCCTCAACTCACAAAGATCTACCTGCCTCTGCCTCCCAAGTGCTGGGATTAAAGGCATGTGCCACCACGCCTGGCCTCAAACTAAATTTTTTAAAGAAAAAACATTAAATTCTTCACAGAAACTTGGACTCAGTATGCCCTGTTAACCAAATGTTTGAACTAGAGATATTTACAAATTTTTAAAAATTGGGACTGGAGTGATAGCTCAGTGGTTAAGAGCACTGGCTGTTCTTGTAGAAGATCTGGGTTCGAATCCCAGCACTCACATGGCAGCTAACAACTGTTTGTAACTCCAGTCCCAGGGGATCTAATGCCTTCTTCTGACCTCCATGGGCATTGCATGACATGGGTGCATTTACATACATGCAGACAGTACACGCATACACATAAAATAAAAATAATAAAAATTTAGAAATGTATTAATTTGTTGTGTGTGTGCGTACACACAGAGATCAGAAGACAGCTTGCAGGACTTGGTTCTCTACTTCCATGTGGGTCCTGGGGGATTGGACTGAGATCATTAGGCTTGGTGGCAAGTGCCTTTACCTGCTGAGCTATCTTGCAGTTTCCTAGAGTTATTTTGTTTAGGATTCTTTTTGTAGTCAGAAAAACAGAACCAATTTAGCAATTAATGAGAAGTTGTGAGTTTGTAGCAAACTAAAACATTAAAGGATGGATGTTTGCAAGTATTAGAGAAGATGTGGAAAAATTAGAACCTTTAAACATGGCTGGGTGTGGTAAATGGCACAGTTGCTTTGGAAAATAGTTTGTCAGTTCCCTAAAAAGCTAAACAGAGTTTCCATATGAACCATCCTTCTACTCCTAGGTAGATTCTTAAGAGAATTGGAAATATATATGTATATATCTCCACAAACTTATGTGCATATGTTTGTAACAGCATTGTTCATTATGGCCCCAAAGTAAAAACAAATTAACTATTCATAAACTATTGAATGGATAGATAAAGCAGAATGTTCTTGTTATGTTTACTTCATAAAAAGGAATAATTTGTACTGCAGCATGAATGAACTGTTAAAATGTTATGTTAAATGAAAGAAACTAGACACTAAATGTTGCTTACTTAGTAAATGCGTTCATTCACTTGAAATAGCGAAAGTAAATCTGTAGGTACAGAACACAGGTAGATGGCTACTGGGCTGAAGGAAGTGAGTAATCAGGAGCATGAGGTTGCCTTTGGGGTAACAAAAGTGTTCTGAAACACAGTAGTGGTGATGATTGCACAGCTTTGTAAATGAACTAAAATCCACTCAATCATAGACCACAAAAGGGTGAATTTTGTGGAATGTGAATTGTATCTTCAAATGTTAAATTTAAAATTACAAATTAAGTCTAAAATATAAAATATACCTGAAACATGTGTGCATATTTCCCTTTGTGATGCTAGAGATTGAACCAGTAGTAGGTAAACACTACACCTCCAGTTTTTTTCCCTATTACCTATTTATTGCTTTAGCTTCACAGACCTGCTTTTAGCCAGTGTCCTTTTCTCATAGCAAATACTTTGAATCTCAGTTTTACCCCATACTGATTATAGTAGTTACACTATAAGAAAGTAACTGATAAAAATAACTGATCGAAAAATTTAGAACCTACATGGCAGCTAACAGCCATCCATAACTCCAGTTCTGGGGGATCTGATGCCCTTTTCTGACCTCCATGGGCATCGCATGCCCATAGTGCTCTTATATACATGCAGACAAAATATTCATACACACATGAGTACAGTGAGATATTTCAATACATGTGTACAATGTATAGTGCTTAGAGTAGCTGGTATAGCTTGTCACCAGAAACATTTGTTTTAGGAACATTGAAATTCCTTTTTTTCTGGCTTATTTAAAAATATTTAATTCTTAGCTGGGTGTGGTGGCACACGCCTTTAATCCCAGCACTTGGGAGGCAGAGGCAGGCGGATCTCTGTGAGTTCCAGGCCAGCCTGGTCTACATAGTGAGTTCCAGGACAGCCGGGATTACAGGGAGACCCTGTCTCAAAAAGACCGATTACAAAGTATTTTTAGTGGTGGTGCTTTAGTCTTGGGTCCCCTGTCTTCACTGACCTTATAGTCATGTGGGGCACTTGACAGAGTTCAGTGTGGCGACTGCTTTCACGGAGAGGCTGAAGTGACTGGAATGTAGTGGGTTATTGGGCTCTGAATGGGAGCTCCAGGGGTTAAGTTCCATAACACAGCAGCTCAGACTATATTTTCTTGAAGTTTTAAGCACTAGCTTCTTATGGTATAATTGCATCTTGTTATATCTATTTGAAAGCTTTTGGTGTTGCAAAAAGAGGAAAATATATGCATGTTGCGACAAATTAAGTGTACCAATGGGGAGGTTCTGGTGTGAAATGATCTTCCCTCTTTACAGACAGATCCAGTTGAGTATGTGGAGAACATGTGTGAAAACATGCAGCTGTACCCATTACAGGACTTCCTCACTGGAGACCAGCTTCTGTTTGAGTACAAACCAGAGGTAAGGTCTCCACTTGGAGAACTTGCTCTTAGGGAGATAGGGAGTGAAAAAGGGCAGAGATGTATTTAAGAATTGTTAGAGTGGAGATAACTTGGGTTATATTTAGCCAGCGATTTTGTTTGTTTAAACAGAAGGATGCATAATTTCTCATGAGTCCTTTACTAGAGTCTTATGTCTCCTAGGCTGGCCTCAAACTTGCTTTGTAACTGAGGATGATCTCGAGCTCCTGATCCTCCTGATCCTGCTCTCAAGTGTGGAGTTTGGGCTGTACTGGCTATTCAACCCAGAGCCTCTTGCATGCTAGGCAAGCACTCAAACAATTGAATTACATCTCCAACACCAAATGTTCATATTTTAATATAAAAGATAAAAATTGAATCTTTCTACATACTGTTTGTAAAATAGTTAAGACAATTTCTAAAACTTACAGGGTTTGGTTCCTAAACACTTAAAAAATTGTTTGGCTTACCTTTATTGGAAACTCAGGACAATTACATTTTAATTTCTATTTATTTATTTTTATTGTGTGTGTATGAGTGCTTTGCCTGCCTGTATATGTGCACCTATGTTATGCAGTACTCAGGGAGGCCAGAAGAAGGTGCCTGGACTACAGAGCGAGTTCAAGGCTAGCCTGGGTAACTTAGTGAGATGGGGATTTAGCCCAGTGGAATTATGTACCACATCCTAGGTTTAATCCCTGAAACTAAAAACGAAAAACAAAATCAAACAAATAAAAAACAAAAACAAAGCCAGGCATGTTGGCACATGCCTTTGGTCCTAGCACTAGGAGGCAGAGACAAGCAGACCTCTATGAGTTCAAGGTCAGCCTGGTCTACTTAGTTCCAGGCCAACTGGGGCTACAGGGAGACCCTGTCTCAAAAAGAGAAAAATAAACAACTTACATATAGTATTATATACAAATGATCAGTTGACTAGCCATCCCTCCCCTACTGTGGAATCAGTCAGCTTGTTTCCTAGAGGGTAGCTTCTAGGATCTAGTGCTTAGAACCTTAGATCTGCTGGCTGTCTTAAAATGCAGAAGATAGGACCCAGCAATGAAGAATGAACTGGCCCAAGATGTTGCTGGTGCTGTGAAGCTTTAGGAAAGAGTTTTTATTCCAAGTCTGTTAATTCTTGGGATAGTCTCAGTTTGTTTTTTTTTCTTTTGGTCTTTTTGAGACAGGGTCTCCCTGTAGCTCCAGCTGGACTCACCGAGATCCACCTGCAAGGTGTGCACCACCACCCCTGGCCCTAGAGTCTTACTTTGTAACATAGAGTGATCTCAGACTAATGGAGGACTCTTGCCTCTGCCCTGAGTGTTAGGATTATACTTATGAGCCCCCAAACTACTAATTTTAAAGGGAAGAAGGAAATAACAATTGCATGTTCTTGGTACCTTCTGGATTGGTTTTGAATGGACTTGAGTTTTTTATGAACCAGTTTTTTCCTCCATTAAAGAAATAGTATTTAGGATTCCAAACCAACCTAAATAGTCCTATGTTTAGTCCTTATCACTGCTGGAGGATTATTGAAGGCCCTACACTTGTATCATTTGATTCTTGTCTATGAGATGGCATAAAACATAGCTTTTAAAACCACATTCTTGGGGCTAGAGCAGTGGCTCAGTCAGTGGTTAAGAGCACTGACTGCTCTTGCAGAGCACCTGAGATGGGTTCTCGGCACCCACATAGTGATTAACAAACCACTGTAACTCCAGTTCCAGGGTATCTGATGCCTCTTCTGGCCTCTGTGAGCATTGCACGACATGGGTGCACTTAGATACATGCAGGCACAACACTTGTACACATAAAATGTATTTTAAAAGAGATATTCTTGAGCTAGGCTGGTGGCACATGCCTGTAGTCCCAGCACTCAGGGGGCTGAGTCAGAAGAATCTGAGTTTGAGGCTGGCCTGGGATACATAGTAAAACTGTTTCAAAAAACAAAACCAAAGAATATATTCTTTGCAATAATGTATAGACTTGGTTAGAACCCTACTTTTACTATTTCTAGCTGCATTTTTCCATGTGAGTTACATAATCTAGTTTGAGCATTAGAGCCTTTCATCTCTAATATTGAGTATTCTGTAAAATAGGCATCACATATCACTTTGGAGGATTAAGGAAAATAATGTGTACACACTGTTTCTTGTCACAGCTGCTTTATTGCTAGTCATGTTAGAATGTGAGATTTCAGGGGAATGCACTTAAAGCATATCAGGAAACACATTTAATATTTGTCAGTGTTAACTCAAGAGAACTAAAAGTGTTTTTCAAATTTATTTATTTTTTAAAATTTTATGTGTATGAGTGTAGCCTCAGTGTAAGTGCACCTATGTCATACAGTGTCCACGGAGGTCAGAAGAAGGCACTGGATCTCCTGGAACTAGAGTTATAGACAGTTGTTAGCCCCCATATGGGTGCTGGGAATCGAACCCAGGTCCTTTGCACAAGCAGCCAGTGCTCTTAATTGCTGAGCAATCTCTCCAGCCCCGAGAGAACTAAAGATTTTTGAAAGACCAATAAACTTAATGGAGTTTTATAAATTCAGGACTTCGTGCCTGTGGTCTGTGCGTGGTACATTGAGTGTCAAGATACCAGGCTCTCTGGACTGTCTAATAATTGGGATTCCCTCCTGTCTCTTTCTCTTCCCCTGCATTAGGTCATTGCTGAAGCCCTTCATCAGCTAGTTCCTCAAAAAGCAAATCTTGTTCTCCTGTCTGGTGCTAATGAGGGAAAATGTGACCTTAAGGAGAAGTGGTTTGGGACTCAGTATAGCATAGAAGGTAAGGCCCTGTAACCATTCTCCTTTAAGTGACTCATCTGCAAATTTTTATGCTTTAATAATTGGATGGTTTTTTTGGAGATGAAAGTATAATTTTTAAAAATATTTTATTTATTATTATTACTTTTTATTACTTATTTTTAAAAATTATTTAATAACCACATACTTAGAAGCATTTCATTACAGCATTAACATATTCAATAACAATTTCCAGAGCAAAGATTAT